CCATGTCTCTCCCCTGTCTGTGTCCCTTACATGGGAGATCCCCCATCATGTCACAGGATGTGGGAAGCAGAGGGGGGGTCTCTCAGTGGAGCAGGGTTTCCCATCCCCACACTGTGACCAGGGCACCCCTCTCCAGGCAGGGGTTATCCCAGGGTGGGTGGGAACCTCCTCTACCCCCTGACCAGGACATAGGAACAAGCCCTGGCTGTGGGCGGGGGTCTCTTGTGAGCAGGGGCCAGGGTGGAACAAATTCTTGGGGGGGGCCTCATCTCTCGTGGCTCCCCAAAGTGCCTTCCCATTGTCCCTCATCCCTGCTGCTTCTGGGAAGCTAGGATGAGCGGGGGCTGTGAAGTGGTGGGGCACTGAAGGGCTGGAGCTAGGCTGAGTGGGGCTGTGCATCCAGCCACAGAGAAGTTAACAAAGTCCAATACCCCCTGTGTGGAGACAAGGGTGAAAGTGACGTGTGCATAATCAGTGGTAATAAACCAATCAGAGAAGAGAACAATAACATGAAAATAGCTTGAACAAGAAAAGCCCTGTCAATGAAATGTTTGTGCATGTGCAGTGTATGACCTATATAAGGTACTTAATATTCATATCACACAAAGGTGATTGGAAAAGAACTAGTAAATATGCATTTTGGATGTGTATAATATGTCAGACATTGTAAGGGGTAATCAGAGCTTCATAGGAGAAATCCCCCGTGACCCGCCTATGCCCCGGGAGAAGGGAACTGGCCAGCACTTCTTTCTATATGCGACGGCTAGTAGCAAATATCCCAACGGCTGGTGATGGGGCACTAGATGGGGAGGGGTCTGAGTTAGAGAGAAATCTTTCCCAGGTGTCTGGCTGTTGGGTCTTGCTGAAATGCTGAGTGTCCAACTGACCAACTTATTTGGGATAAGGAAGGAATTTTCAACCAAGTCCAATTGCCAGAGACCCTAGGGTTTTGTTTGTTTGTTTGCTTTGCCTTCCTCTGCCATATGGGGCACGTATCATTTACAGATGTTAAACTAGAATAAATGGTGGATTCTCTGTAACTTGAAGTCTTTAAATCATTATTTGAGGACTTCAGTAATTCAGCCAGAGTTTATGAGTAAATTGTAGGAGTGAGTGGGGAGGTTCTGTGGCCTGCAGTATTCAGGAGGTCAGAGTAGATGGATCATGATGGTCCCTTCTGACCTTAAAGTCTATGAGTCATTTCTTACTTTGTAATTTGAATTGAAAGGCATGTTTTGGGTGCAAACAAAGGTTTGAATTAATCAACCTGAGTGTCTTGGAACCAAGTGTCTGGCATTCTCACCCAACAATTAAATAGAAGCATCATCATGTAAGTGTGAACCAATTGACCAGCACCATTCTCTTCCCACAGTCTCAGAGATTTATCCCAATTTCCATTCCTAGATCCATTTTAGGTACCTTTGAACTTCCTCAGAGTCTCCGATAGCACAATCGTTTGCTGGGAGAAACCACTGACTTGCTCTTCCAGTTCAGGAGAAATCTCCTCTGGCTGCTGGAACTTCCCCTTCTCACACCTAGAGAGAAACAATTTCATGTGATTATATTTCACTGTGTGACTCATTATAAGTTCTGGCTAGTGAGTCGCTGCTCTAATGGCCTGGAGTTAGAATTCCTCGACTTCTCCCAGCCTCAGAGCAGGTGCAACACAGCCCATGGCCATACAACCTTCCCTTCAAAGGACTCATTAATATTCTTCAGCTCTGGGGACAAAGGGGGAATTGAGTCTCCATGGCCAATTCACTCCTTGGCCTCCATGCTCTGAGGGAGAGGAGGTTCTAATGTGAAGTGCTGTAGAAATCTGACCACTAGAAACTAGACTGAGACACCAACTCCCCCCTCCCCAGCTCATTCCACACAGGTCTCCTAACAACCCTCAGGCTGGGAAAGACTCTTGACCACTGCTGCCCTGGGCTGAATGGTAACCCAGGGCCCCAGCAGTGACAGGCCCATATTCCATCCCCAGAATCCTGAGGCAGCCAGTCCCCCAGGGATGTGACATCTCTAGGAAACACTTGAGGTCAGTCTTTCCCATTGAATGGATAATTCCAGAGTCTTCTGTACCAAGGTCAGAACCTCCGGATTAAGTTTATCTGAGAGATTTGTATCCAAAATGTGACCTTCCCCACACATGTTGCTGAGGAGATGCAGTGCTAACACCATCACCATGCTCTTTCCCAGCATTACCAAGTATGTGTGGGAGTGAGAGAGCCACGTACCTACTCAAGGTGCTTCTGACATCCTAGAGGGGAGAGAGAGGAAAGAGAGATTAAAAAAAATTTCAGTACCATCTGACACACACTTGGGATTCCAGGAAAGGTATTTTGCAAATACAGGGGAAATGAACCCTGCCCTGGCCCCAAGGCCATGGTTTCACTGAGCTAATGGGGCTTTTCCATCTCTAATATCAATGTGTCTGTGACTCTGCAAAGAACAATCGTCATTCACATGTCAGCAATGCACACGCCGAGTTACACTGAGATTTCTGACTGCTGGACCCCTGTGCCCGTAGCTCAGGAGCTGTCCTGTCCCTGTGTGGGGATCTGGGATGTTTCCAGCTCAGTCTTACCTGCAGGAATTCACTCGCTGGCTTCTGACACTTCCCCTCCAGCTCACTGATCAGCTCACTGAGACGGGAAATCAGCTCGGAGAGTTTACTGACATTTTCATTCTGGATCTTCACAATTGCCTCATCCAGCTTTTCCAGCTGGGCCAGCAGGAGTCGCTCTTGTTCCTCCAGGAACTGCCGCAGTTGCTGAAATTCAGACACAATCTTCTGCCTCTCGGTTTCTGTCTGTTTCTATAAGAAATAAGGAAAGGGCTGGTCAGGAACATGGATGGAGCCTGATGACCTTTCATACAGTCTTACAAGACAGAGTTTCTTTACAATCTCTAACACATCTGTGTAGAGACCAGGACATGAGCCATCTGGCCTAGTGCTCAGAGCTGCAGTTGGAAGTCAGGAACTACAGCCAAAGTCAGAGCTGGAGTCAAAGTCAACATCTCACCAAGGGTTGGAGCTACAGTCGAGCTCAGGAGTCATGCCAAAGGCTGAGCCAGAATCAGTGTCTGGAATCACACGGGGGATCAGGACTGGAGTCAGAGTCAGGGAGCTACACGAAGGGTCAAGCCGGAGTCAGATAGCAGTACTACAGGTCAAACCTGAGTCAGGAACAACGCCAAGGCCAAGCAAGAGTCAGGGTCCAGTCCAGCAGCAGATCGGGAGTTCACTCAGTTGTTTGGACAATTTCCTGTGACTCCTTCTGGTGTAATTAATGCATCCGAACGTCTGCTCCAATCAGGATCTTCGTAGGCAGATCCTCTGGTGGGCCAGAGTTCCATTAGCCCCTCCCCTGCTGGCTCTGGAGAGCACTTGGGTTGTAATGACAGTCTCTGTGGACTGAGGTTCAAAACCCACCATTCTTCACATCCTGACACTTGACTATACATTGTCATCACAAGGGAGAGGATTTTCTTACAGCTTCCCCATTTGGCCCCTATCTCTCTGAAAGGGCTGTCTCCCTGTCTACTGGGATATAATCAGTGCAATGTGGGAGAAATTTTGTGAAAGCCACCAGGGGTAGTAATTAATTCATTAATTAAAATGCATCTTAGATCCTGCAGAAGATGCTGTTGTCCTTGTCCAGGGAGAGAACATTTGTGATATGCACACACACACACACACACACAGTATCCCATGATCATGGAGAAACACACACAAGACCACAGAGAAATCTACCAATAAATATCCCTCCTACCTCTATGTCCCAGCAGGAGAGAAACAATAGGCACCTACCAGATACTCCTGGCTTCTCTTCTCTCCAGTCACTTTAAATCCCAGCAGCTTTTCTCTGTCTTCCTTCAGAGTCTTCAAATGGGCTTGTATTTTTTCCTGACAAACAGAAATGATTTGGTGGGTTTATTTTGAGGGTTGTAGGGGGTGGATAAAGTGTTTTTCCACCCAAAATTCAAGATAACAGTCAGTCTTCCTAGATAGACTAGGTGGGTAAGGGAATATCTTCTGCTGGCCCAGCTCCTGTTGGTAAGAGAGTTACACACAACTCAGCTCTGGGGAACGTACTTTTTCCCAGGCCTGAAGAAGAGCTCTGGGTAAGCTCGAAAGCTTGTCGTGCACCCACAGAAGCCGGCCATGAGCAGATATTACTTCACCTCCCTTGTCTCTCTCATATCCCGGGACCAACACAGTTACAACAATACTGTGTACAACAGTGGGTCTTTCTAGAGGTAGGGCATCAGAGACACCAAGGAAATGAAACCTTGTTAATGGAAATTGGGCGGGTTTTGTATTCAGATGGTTTGAAGTTATTATGTCCACTCTCTCCATTGAGTCGAACCAGTGGAAAACTGGTGTCCCATGGTGGTGAATCTATAAAGCTGTTTTTGAGAAGACTTAACAAACAGTGATACCAATCCCAGAAGACACTGGGGGCAGCCATATTGGCCGGGATGCTCAAAAGAGTCCAACTCCATTGACTTTCAGCCCTGTACCCCTGGGGATTGGACAGGTTGGACAGCACTGATCTAGGGACTAGGGCAAACCCCATTCGATGTGTTGATTTGTGTTAGGAACAGTTGGGGTTTGCCCTAGTGCTGTCCTAGCCCCTTTCTGTGGCAATGGCCTCTGGGTAGCTACCCCACCGTCCCCAGCAAAGGTCCCAGAAGCATTGGATTCTGGGAGATTTCAAAAGGCTTCCTGGTGGGACTAATGGAACCACTTTGGCTGGTCCTTGCCCATGATCACACGAGAACAGGTCAGACTGACACAGGTCCGTGCTGCCCAGGGGTTAGTTTTGCTGAAGATAAGTCTAATCCCAGTGGCATGTGGCATGGAGCTACGCTGTCTGGAGCCCTTGTGGGTGTGGACTCAAGGTTCTCGGGGCCCCACACAGTGATCTCCTCTAGTGCAGGCTGGCAGCATCTGAGATTAACCCCTCATGGAGCAGCACAGGAATTCACAATCCCCGTGGGAAACCTCCTCTCCCTGCTGGGCCTAGGACCTGTATCAAGGAGTCTTTTCCTCCTACTGTCTGCACTTCATCACTGCTCAGTGCTGCTGAAAGGGGCAGAGTAGCTAGTGGTTGGGCCACTGAACTGGGCCTTGGAAAACCAGGTTTTTATATCCAGCTCTGCCACTGATCTGCTGAGTCACCTTGGACAAGTCACAAGTCACTTCCCCTCACTGTGCCTCAGTTTCCCCTCCCACCCTTTGTCCGGTTGGTCTGTAAATGGCTTGGGGCAGGGATTGGCCCTCACTACATTTTGTGCAAGGCCCCTCACAATT